AAGGAAGGAAGGAAGGAAGGAAGGAAGGAAGGAAGGAAGGAAGGAAAGAAGGAAGGAATCCATGAAGAAGGGAGGCAGGCAGGAAGGAGATATATATGAGATATATTTACCTCATTATAGTTGCTCTTCTCCTGCATGTGCTTCACGATGAAATTGGCTCCAGCAATGGCTGGCTTGATCTCATTGTACAGCTGGTCCTGCAAATAGCCTTCCTCATGGGGGCTTGGTCCTGGGGGGGCAGTGGGGGGAGAGAAAAGAAGGAAGCTCTGAGCCAGGGACCAAAGAGATCTAGAGAGCTGCAATATGAGAGCCAGGGGGTATCGCAGTGGTCCGAATGCGGTACTTCAGGCTAACTCTGTGTCAGGGTTCCGACAGATGCCCTAATTAAATCATGAGCCTCGAGCCAAGCTTCAAAAGAAATCCAGTTATTTATTGGGAGCTCCATTTCGGCACGTTCCCAAAAGAAGCCCACTCTGACCCCACGTAATTTATGGCCCAATCATGACCCTGTTTTCCCCCCTCCTTCCAAGGTGCATCATCAATCACATTCGCCAACAGAGCAGTTTTGCAGGTTGTAGCAATCACTCCCCTCCAGCCATTGTGGATAACTCTGGGAGATGGCCTTGAGAAAGATAAGTCTGGGGTGTACTTCTGTTTTTGGCTGCCATGCTGCTCTCTCGGTTTCCCATCCCCCTTGCCTATGGCAACTCAAGAGCAGGCCAAGGATGCTTTGCAAGTTGACAGCCTACCAGTAGTGGGTTCCAGATCCCGTTGTAACCAGTATGGTTGGAACAGGCCCGGCGTCGCCAACATGGACGTGCACCATGCGCTTGCACACGTGCTTGACGTGTGCATGTGTCGTAGTTGCCAGCGACGCTTCCGCAAGCCTCCGCAACGCTCTAGCTGCTCGGCAGAGCGTCGCACAGGCGCTGTATGCACCATGCGCGTGCGCAGAAGGCTTAAAAGGACAGGTAAGGAGCTCGAGCAGGCGGGTGTGTGCTTCCTGACTGTCATGAGCCAGCGGCATTTAATGACACCGCATTAGAGAACTTTTAGGTGGTGTCGATGCGAGTTCAGGCGATCCTCTAGCGAAGATTCCGCGCGGTTCAGTGAACTCCCAAACCCCACTCCTGGCTGGCCCCGCCCATTCTGCCCCATCCCTCCCACCCCTCCCCTCCCAGGAATGCAGCCCATTCATCATGCCAGGTAAGTGCAGGGACCACATGGAGGCTCAGGGAGTGCGGGGAGGAAATGGGCCTACCGGAAATCCGGAAACAGGCCTGTTTCCCACCTCTAGAGGGCTTCCGGAGCCCGGGGAAGGCAGTTTTTGCCTCCCAGAGGCCCAAGGAAAGTCTCCGGAGCCTCGGGAGGGCAAAAAAACTCCCCCTCCACCATGGTGCAGGAGGGTAACTAGGCCACACCCACCTTGGCCACGCCCACCCAGCAACGGGGCAGCAAACCCATTGCTGCAATTCTGGGGCTTACGTGCAGGGGTAATCCGTCTAGTTAAGCCGTGTCTCTCCGACTGCTTCTCAAACATGAGCTCGCTGCGGGATTTAATGGTGAAATATTCCTCCGCTTTGGCGATGTAACCGACCGAGCTGGAACGCCGGATCAGGAAGCCGTCCTGCGGCGCGGGGTCACTCTCCGCTGGCTTGGACATGCGGAGGATGCGCGGAAGGGTGTCAAGGAAGAACTGTGGATCGAAGGAGGGAAAGGGAAAAGGGATTTTCAACCTTCAACAGTCTTCAACAGCAGCTTGAAGATCTCCTGATGGTGTCCCATCCAAAATAAACCCAACTGGATGAGATGCAGCCACCTATTTGCGTAGTAGGCCAGAATGGGCCCTTTTAGAACTCCACAACACAGAGACAATGGAAGTGTTGGTCCCAAAGCTGCTATTTTTTTTTCAAGAGGCAAGTGGACCTCCTTGTTATTCTTTTGAAGATGTTTCACTTCTCATCCAAGAAGCTTCTGGATGGTGGGTGGGTGGGCGATAGAAGGATTTAAACCCCTTGCAGACCACTGGTCATTTGCATTCTTTCAGAATGTCGTTGAGGCCGCTTGGAGGTTTGAAAGAGGGGTTTAAAAGGCCATCTATGTCCAAACTGAACAGCCGTCTCTCAACACAGGGGGAAGGAGGCAACATCATGTCTACAACACGGTCCTTTCAGTGGTTCCACGAAGGCTCCACACCCATTTGCGCCACTCAGGTGACCCTGAGGACACAGATAAAACCTCCAAGTAGCCTCAACAACTCTGTAAAAGGATGCAAATGACCAGCTGTCTGTAAGGAGTATCAATCCTTCCCACCCATCAATCCATTTCCCACCAGAAAAAAACCAGAAAGTCCGGAATGGAATGGAATAGAATAGAATGGAATGGAATGGAATGGAATAGAATAGAATAGAATAGAATAGAATAGAATAGA